AACTAAAAAATGTTTTCTATTCAGTGTGTTATAAAATAACTTTTTGGTGTTTGATCTTTTATTCATTTGTTTATTCAAAAAATTTTTATTGATGCTGGGGATACAAAGACAAACCAGATGTAGGGGAAAGCAAGTAATAAAACCAGTTGTTTTACAGAGCATTGTGAAAAGTATAATGCTAGAGTTTTTCACAGGGTATATTTGTTCTAGAAATTAAGCCCCTAGGTTAGCAGACAAGAGTCTGGGGATTTTTATGGGTGAGGGTAGCAGAACACAACAGGGAAAAAGAGAGAAGGTACGGAGCAGGAAGGCAGAGAACAAATAGGAAAGAGAGTTTGAACGGTACCCGGCATGTAGTGAGCAACCCTTGAATGGTAGGTAGCTGCTGTTCCCACTGTGGCGGTGGCGGTGGCGGTGAATAGAAGAGGCAGTGTGGCCCGCCACCAAGAGTTTGCTCCACTTCCTGTGCCACTGACTGCCTGCTCCTAACACAGGAGCCACCACCATTTTATCTTTTTCCAACATAATGTCCTGCACACACACCATAGTATCTTTATGCCTGAGATGTAAGGAAGACTTTGGAAAGGAAGGACCTCTGAGGCAAAGAAAGTATTCTGGGCAGAAGTATGAGGACTCCTGTGCTCAGAGTGCCTTTGGGCAGTCGTGGCAGGGACGAGAGCATAAAGGGCCTTGTGAGCATTGATTAGGGCTTTGGGTGGATCTTAGTGGCAGTGGCGAGCTAGTGACAAGTTTTAATTAAGGAAGTAACACGATTAGACTTGTGTCTCAGAAGGCTTACCCCGATGGCAGGGCAGAGGAGGGACTGGCTAGCTCTGTGATGCTGGAGGCCGCTGCAGTGGTGCAGGTTAGAAGAGATGAGCCTTCAAACGTGGGGACGTGGTGGGGAGAGTGATAAATTTGAAAGGGCTTTGGAGGTAAAAGCAACAGATTTTGAAGTTTAATTTATTGAAGGAGTGATGGAGAAGAACATTATATTTCTGACTTAGACAGCTGGGTGTATGGTGGTGCCATCCACTCGGAATTCAGGAGCACAGCAGCACATTTTGGGGGAAGAATGGTGGAGTCAGTATTAGACAAGCGGATTTGATGTGCTTGTGGAAAACGTGTATACAGCTGTCCAGCAGGTGGTTGGAAAATGCTCTTCTGGAGTGAGGAGCAGTTTGCTGACAGGAGTTGGGGGCTGTCTGTGTTCTGGAATAGCAGCTGGAGTCATAGCCACAGGTGAGGGGCTCAGGGAGAGTTAGAGGAGAAGGCCGAGGATAGAGCATTGATGAACGTCATCTTGTGAGAGGCAGACAAGTGCGCTGGGGGACTGAGGAAGGAAACCAGAAGTTAATGTTGCAGAAACCAAGAGAAGAGTTTCAAGAAGACAGGAATGGATCACAGTATCAGCTACTGATGAGAAGTCAGAGAAAGTGGCGACCAATGGATTTGTCAATTGGGTGGTTGTCAGTGAGTGTCCTTGACACGTGCAGTCCTCCCACCAGGGGTTGGGTGGGTGACAGGGTGGGCAGAAGGAAAGAGGTAGGAAGAGGAAGGGAATCGCACAGCAGTGTGTTGAATTGTCAATGGGAGAGGAAGAAGCTCAGGTGCTGAGAAAGGAAGACATAGCAAGTAGCTAGTCAGGGCTGTGGGTTTTCGTTTGGTTTTTCAGTATGGTAAAGACTTCATGGTGAGGGGAGGAGAGTGTTAATACAAAAGAGAGGTTGAGGATTAAGGAGAAAAAGGATAGCGTAAAGGCTTAGACTTGGAAGGGGTCCAACATAGAGGTTAGCCGCAGGAGAAGGACCACCTTCATCCCAAATGTGGACAGATGTGGAGTGTGAACTGACATCTGGACCAGCCGGGTAATAATAATCTGCATAATCAAATATTATCTGTAAGGAATATTTAGCTGTATATAGATGATAATTAATTTTCAAAGAATTAGAATATAGTAGACCTAACAGTGCATAACTATCTTCAGTAAATAACATTATTTGTAAATAAACAACAAAAAACACAGTTATTTGGCAAAGCATGGAAGTGGTAGCCATTGTACAGATTTCCATTTGTAGAATTTTATTTATTTAAAAACTTCACCACTGTAGCCTCTTTGTTTATAACTGGATTGTTGCATTCCTAAAAAATTACATTATAAAATAGTTGCATTAGTGAGAAAAGATATTAAATAGAAAGTTTCAGACCCTCACTAAGAAGTTATTTACCCTGTGGAATTAAGGTGCTTTTATATAAAAATCTGTAGCTATAAAATCTAGACATCACAAGCATTCTCAGTATTTGATTACATCTAATGTTTGCTAAAGAGAAATAGCTTTTCTTTTCTGGATACTACAGACACTGTCATTAATACCTAATCACCCATTGTTGTGAAAAACAAAACACAAAGCCACCCACAGCAGCTGCTGTCGAAAGCCCAGCAGATTTTTAATGGCAGCACATTTCAAATTGCCCACTCTGTTAGTTCCTTTTACAGTCAGTGTAGTACAGGTAATGAAAATCCTATATCCTAATTAATTAATCACTTTTTATTAAATTCTCACTATGAAAACTTATGCTGTAAGACAAACCCTTGTGTTTAATATTCTTTAAGTCATAGAGCATCAGAGTGAACTTTTGTTCCTATAAGTCAGTTTGATATACCAGAGGATTTAATTTTTAACTTTTTCGTAAATTATATAATTTACCAGGAATCTGGAAAAATAAAATGCTACTAGTGTTCACTGACTTGGAAGATTTCTAGAAAAATTTAGAAACCTTTATCTCTAGGACTTTCTTGTTGGTGGTATCTTGCCTTCTTAATATTCTGTGAGATGAATTGTTAAATTTTCTGTGCACGTAGAGTAGGTTGTTCATTAAGCATGAAACCCTTCCCTTCACCTCTCCCCATCGCTCCTGCTCACTTTTAGTGTAATGAATGCTGTATTCTAACACTGCTGTCCCCAGCCCCTGGGCAGTGGGCCCACAGCAGAGCTCTGCTACCCCGCCCCATGGAAAAATTATTTTCCATGAAACTTAGGAAAGGGTGGGAGGGGGGTGACCTTCTATACTTGATAAGATAATGTCATATTTCCTCTAGTTTCTTATTTTGCAATCTGGTAATGGTTCAGAATTCTTTGACAGAATTTTGTGGTTGTCAGAGATTATTGTATTGTACTTCCAGATTTAGCTTGAGATAAACCTTTAAGCCCTATATATCTGATTTCATTTTACACACAAATCACTGTTTTATGTTTCTCAACTCTTCCTTAGTGTTCTGAAATTTTTTTCATATTTTTTCTTTTGTGTTGCCTTCTCTCTCCAGTAGAGTCTTGAGAATTAGAGGTGAATTTTTGTTTCTTGAGTGTCCTCCAAGATCACTTAGACAACACATGCAGCTGATATTTTAGTTCTTGGGTAAATTAACAAAAAACTTCTCTCCCTTCTTCTCTGGGCATTAGGCATCATAGGCGAGTGTTAGTGGAATGGCTAAAAGATCCATCTCAGGAGCTTGAGTTTATCGCTGATATTCTTAATCAGGATGCAAAGAATTACCATGCCTGGCAGCACCGACAGTGGGTTATTCAGGTATTGCCTTTCTTGTTACAGTGTTTTTCAGATTTTTATTTTTTAACTGAATTATGTAAGTAAAATTACTATTAAGGTCTAAATGTAATAAGCACACATATATGTAGATCATTACACATAATGTGTAATACTTAAGATACCTAAA